AAATTAATTGCTTGCTCAACATATTTTTGACAAATTATATTTATTTTCATACATTGCGCATTTATTATGTTATATCAGACTAACAAATGCGTAATTTTGAACTTTAAATATGGTCAGTGGTCCGATACACTTGAATACATTTAAAAACTCTGCTGGTTATCATGATACTTTTTATTCTAAGATATGTTTTCTGGACAGATACTTCTGTGGGTAGGTGGTTATAACAAAGTTATATTTCATATTTAAAATACTCCATATTTTGTCATATTATTTTTATATTCAATAGAAATTTCTGCTGGACAGACATTTCTCACGGTTTGTTTGTAACAAACCATTAATTTACATATTTCATGAACGTGTTGGTACAATTTTTAATACCTATTTATCAATATTTTATCCAATTTTGGTTAGATAATTTCGAACATGGCTTAAAAATTATCGTCATGTGTCATCTTAATTATAAGTAAACAAGATACTCTACAGGTTGTAATAATATTAATATCTTAATATTTTATATACATTTCTATGGATGGCAGTATGTTACTTAATTGTTTGTGTTATCGGACCAAAATTATATTTCCCTGGTGGAAAATGAAAATTTGTTGAGCTGGCCTCAATGGTGTTATGGTGTACGTGGTAAAAAATAAATAGAAGTTCAAGTACTAGTTCCTCACGACTAAGAAAATTATCATACTTGAAACAAATAATAATTAAGCACCCTACTTTCCTTGCTATTTTTTTACCTGATTGTTCCATATTCAAGCTCCTAGAATAAAATAAAAAATATATATATCCATATCAAATAAAACAATGATTAAATATTTGAAAAAAAAAATTCTGGCCCAATCCGCAGCTTTAAAATTTAAAGTATTTAAAATATTTAATACCTCAAAGTAAACAAATAATACTACTTCTTAAATTAATTGTAATAATGTTTAATCAAAAAATATTTTTATAGTTAATAAAACAGCCTGAATTTTATATGTTTTAGAATTCATAATTTATCTTGTGTTATTATATTTTAAAAATGGCTTTTAATAAATAGAATATAATAAAAAATTATAAAATTCACATTTACATTTATATTTACAACCTTTAACTATCAAACAAAATTATACTTATAGATGAAATCTATTTGTTTTGTATAATAATTTTATAATTTATATAATTTAAATAATTTTCTTGTTTGTATTAATAATTAATGTATGAAAATTATTTTTATTATTTAATTTAAAAAAGGGTTAGTTTGACAAAAATAATTAATAATCTAATGAAAAAAAATATATAAATAGGAATATTAGATTTACATACACCTACTCTACTTAGTTTTATTTAAAATTAACAAAATAAGCATTTAAAACTTTTGGAAAAATATTCAAAATATTTCTGGAGACTGTCAAGTTAAGATATTTTCTATTATTACATATTTTATATTGATCATTTTGATGAGTCTTATACAAATTTAATCTTTAAATAATCATAAATAATATAAAAATAATATTGTTTGAAGTTTCTTTATAAATAATTTTTTCTCAACTTACATAGAACCAAGGTTCTTGTATTGCAATTATTTCAAACCTTAACTATGGATATTAAAAATGTTATGAATTTTTGTCTACAAAAATACTTGCAAATTTTCACATTTCAATATATTTCAACTTTAAACATATTATGTATACACATGTGCCTTTGTATTTTCTAAATTTTTAAATTGCTATAAGACCAATTTATGTGGAACCTAGTATTACATTTGAAAGAATTTTAAGTTAAAAATCATTTATAAAAAAAAATTAATTATTGATTCTAAAAAACAAAGAAAGAAGAATAGTTTATGATAGAGGATTTATTAATATATAATATATATATATAGTTCCTATACTATAGTTATAGTAGTATACCTACATTTATGGCTTCATATTCATAATATAGTATACATGTGAGTAGTAGCCTACTACTCACATGTATACTATGTAATATGTATATGTATACCTACTACTAGTAGGTATATATTATATACCTTTCCTGGCGCACCCCATTTAATTATCATAAAAATATCACAAAATTGAATTGCAATATTCCCCAAAATATTTTTCATGAAATTGAATGTTATAATAATCACCTAAAGGATACATTTTAGAGGTTGATTTATCTTATCCTAAAGAACTTCATTATCTACATTCAGATTTCCCTTTAGCACCTGAAAAAAGTTTTGATAATGAACAACTTCCTAAATTATTAACAACTTTATATGACAAGAAAAAATATATAATTCATTATGAGACTTTAAAATTATACATTAAGTTAGGTTTAAAGATAGAGAAAATTCATAGAGTGTTAGAATTTAGTCAATCTTCTTGGTTAAAAAGTTATATTGATTTCAATACTAATCTTAGATCAAAAGCTTACAATGATTTTGAAAAAGAATGTTTTAAATTAATGAATAACAGTGTTTATGGTCGTACGATGATGAATTTTCGAAATCATGTTGATATAAGATTATGTAGTAGTAATCAACAAGTATACCGTTTAATTGTAAAACCAAATTTTGATAGAAGGACAATTTTTGCACAAAATTTAGCAGCAATCCACATGAAAAGAACACAAATAAGATTCAAACTACCAATTTATATAGGAATGTGTGTTTTAGATTTATCTAAAATGGTGATGTATGATTTTTACTATAGTGTAATCAAGAAAAAATAAGTGAAATAATGTTAGATTATTATATACTGATACAGATTCACTAATAATAGAAATAAAAACTAATGATTTTTATCAAGATATAAAAATTATGATAGATCATTTTGATACACAGATTATCCAAAAGATAATATTTATGAATTACCTTTAGTTAACAAAAAAGTTTTGGGTAAATTTAAAGTTGAGTTGAATGGTAAAATTATGACTGAATTATTGGTCTAAGATCTAAATTATATTCACATACAATTTTAGATTGTGAAAAAGAAATTAAAAAAGCTAAAGGTGTTAAAAAAATTGTATAATATTATAATATTGTATAATATTTCTATTAAAAATTAACAACTACATATCAGGAAATATATGTTAGATTTATTTTAATTAGTTTTATGAAAAATATTTTGGGGAATATTGCAATTCAATTTTGTGATATTTTTTCACATTGTTAATGATAAGTAGTTTTGTGATCTTTTTATGATAATTAAATGGGGTGCGCCAGGAATGGTATGTATATATTACTCATGTGTGGAGCTAGGATTTCAATGAAAGGAGGGGGGGGCAAATTAGTAATTCTTTTTCAACAATTGGCGATTTTCTTTTTTTTGGACCTAAAAAATGTAGATTAGAGTAGATAAATTTTAGGCACTGCATAAAAAACTGCAGTAAACTAACCTCCTGTGTAGTAGCTATAAACCTATAATGATTACACATGTAAATTACACTCGGTCCCACTAAACTATTTTTAAACTTCATGTTCTTATATCTTATTTAATATTTCAATTTTAATGTAAGCCTTAATTATTTAAATTTGAAAATAAAAAAAATCGTTTTAATTCAATTTGAGGCGCAGGGGTGGGCGAGTTCTCCCATGACCCACCCTCGCTACGGCCATGATAGTATATATACATATTTATAAGATAAATATACATCTATATAGCTTATATAGTTAGTAAATATATACAAATATATATAAGGGAAAAAATATTGATTTAATTTAAATAAAATTTAATTAATTGATTTAAGACAAGTATAATAATTTAAAAAAAGATGAAAAATTTAGTTTTTTAATGCATTAGGATTAAACATTTTTTAAAATAAAGTAAGTATTTAAACTTGAATTAATAAAATTTAAATTTAAATCATTAGTTTAGTATTGTTATTTAAAAAAATATGAAAGAAAAGATGACTTTGAAGTTCAATTAAGATTAAAAGATTTAAATATTGACTAAATTAATAATTTATGTCATAATTTTATGGTATAGAAATAAATTTAAAAAAAAAAAAAATAAGAAAAATATATTTTTGTTAACATTTGTCGTGTTGAAATAAATGGACATTCAGCTAATTGTATTCCAATTCAAGATAAAATAAAAAATTAATATTAAAAAAATTCAAAATAAATATTTATTTAAAGGATAAAATTAGTTGATTAAATTTTTTTTATTATTTAATATAGGTAAAATTAATAATATTAAAGCAATTACACCTCCTAATGCCTAACCTGGATTTTTCATTATTTTTTTATGGTTTTCCTGGCAATTCCTTTCCCAAAAGTATCAACTAGATCAATTTTTCTACCAGAAACCACCATACAATAAAATTGGAATTATATTCACAAGCTTTTTGACAGGTACAAAAACCATTAAGGACTTAAAATGCCAAAACAAGCAAGTTTTGATTCTGAAGAACTTTTAAAGATCTTATTAGAAAAGAAAGATACAATTATTGATGCTGAAACTAAACAAATCCACAAACCATCACATATTTGTTGGTTAGAAATTTCTCGTGAGTTGAAAAATGTTATAAAGCCGAAGTATATTTATACAATAGTCCTTCAAAATAGATTTGGGATTTTATCGAAACTAGATCCTAATCTTTCACAAAGTTCCATCAGCACCAAACATATTCATATCGAATCTACAAAACTTGTTGAGCCATTAGATTCTGATAGTGAAACAGATGAACTTGTTACTTTAAAGTTTAATATTACCTTATCAGTAGAAGAATGGAAAAGAATTTATACTCCTAATATAATATATAATCGGTCTGATAGAATAAATGCTACTAGATCATACGACGTCTTAACTCCAAATGAATGGACCAATATTATTCATAGTCATTTTTTTGAACAAACAAGAAAGTCTTGTCCAATAACTTTCAAGTATGGCAAAATTTTCCCTGCGGGTGACAAGTATTTACAAATATTAGGTCATTGTTCAAGTTGCAATAGTATTTTAAAATGTTTAGTTGAGAATTGTCCTAGCCCAGAGACGCGAGTCACTATGCATTGCAGTTACAGTGGTGCTTTTAATAAGTGTAACAGTGGGAAAAAAAGGCGTATAATTGGTCAAAAAAGAGACGACTATTTGAATAAAATAGTAAAACAAAATATGTCAGCTGCATTTGTAAGAAGAACTGAAGCTAATGTACTAATGGAATTCGGAGAAAGCGAACCAAGTCATCTCCCATCTTTGAATGCACTTAGAGTATTGAAATATAGAAATAATAAAAAAAATCAGCTACATAATGATCCAATTATGGCATTAACCCTCATGAAAAGCATTACACCGTATGACAAAATTATAAACGATATTGGATATGATCGGTTTTTTGTACACTATTGGACTGTGACTGAACTTAACATGTATAGATTGTACACAAAAACAAATAGTACACCTAGAATTACAATTGATGCTACTGGTGGAATAGTCTCAAAGATTAAATTAATTTCTGGCCGGGAAACTGCATATATATTTCTGTATCAAATTGGTGTAATGGATTATAAAACTCAGTCTCAATTCACAGTTGCCCATATGTTGTCAGAAAGACATGATAATAACTCCATTAGTCATTGGCTTACCGAATGGACAAGAAATAAAATTATTTTTCCGAAAATTGTAGTGACAGATCAGTCTAAAGCGTTAATGATGGCTGTAATCAAATCCTTTACTCAATATTCAAGTTTATCAAAATATTTGTCCATATGTTCATCACTTTTATTAAAAGAAAGTGAAGTCGAAATACCTCATTGTATGCTTAGGAATGATTTTAATCATACTATGAAGCTTTTAAGTTCTTGGCCAGAAATTAAAAATTCTTCATACAGAATCAAAAACTTTTATCTACGATCCATAGGTTTAGTTATTGCAAGTACAGATTTCAATGACATCAAATATTTATTAGAGTGTATTTTTACTGTCGCACTAAATGAAGAAGATGGATATGTTTCCAACAATATTCCAAATGCATGTGAAATCGCAAAAAATTATTTGAAACAAAGGATATCGAGTCATTTGGTAATCAATCAAGAAACCGTATATTCTAGTGACGAAAATATTATTGAGGGCCAAGATACTGAGTTAGATAGTGCTCACTTACTTAATGAACTAGGTGACGATAATAGTATTTTTAAAATTATTCAAAATATTTATAATAATTGTTTAGAAGAATCACATTCTCAAAAAATTCAAGGCAATCATGATAATATGCAATATTGTCCAATGATTGCTAAGAAACTATTACAATTTTCTAAACTTATTCCGTGTTGGTCTGCGGTTATGGTTACTATTTTTAAATATGGAGAAATAACAGAAACAAGTGCTTCGTCTGAGAGCTTGTTTAATGATTTAAAAAATCGTACTTTTAAACATAAAACTTTACCACTACGTGTAGACGATTTCATTCAAATACACATCGATGATATTTTAGGCTCCATGAAAATTGTAGGCGCAAAACAATACACGGACATTGAGAATTGCATTAGAACCGAAAATAAAGGGGATGAAATAAATAAAGATAGATCATTTGATCCAATTCAAAATTTATCTGTAAATCGTGAACAAATTGAAAAATCAGTATCGTTAAGTGAAAAAGGTCAATATAATGAAATAAGTACATCGCCAACCAAATATAGTTCATTAACTGATACGGAATATTTTCATGAAAAAGAGACGAATAATATAAAAAGCATATCACCAGCTACAAGTATTGATTTGTTATTAAGTGAAGAAGAAACCGCAAGTATTGATGAAGAACAGGATAAAAATAAAAGTATAACAACAGCTACATTGTCACAATGTGACGAATTTGACAAATCAAGCGAGGACGAAAATATAGCAATAGAAAATTGGAAAGGACAAGGACATCAGCACAAAAAAAAAAAAGGAAATTATTTAGACGTGGACAGGAATATTTTATTTTACAACGATAATAGCAAAACTAAGTCACCCGTAATTGGTATACTTAAGAATGGTAATTGTCCTGAGCTACAAAGTATAAAAATTAATAATAAACAATATACGCTTACTAATACTTGCGCATTTGATAGTTTGGTACAGATTTTATTCACGTCATATACCGACAGCTTAGATTATTTCGAATTTATTGAAGCGAATATCGATTTCAAGCTTTTTGAGCTTATTTCTCGTGGTATAAGGGACGGAATCAATGTACAAAGTTACAGAAAACGAGCGATGATTTTAATTGAGATCTACAAACCATCTTTAGAATATCCAAAAGGGCATTTTCATTTAGACTGTTCGTGTACAGAACATTTTATAGTTGAAAATCTTTTTAAGAACTATGATTCATATCATGAAAATAAAACATGTTTCAACTGCAAGGAAGAAAAGACAAGAAAATGTAGGAAGATTGTTGTTAATTTACCTACAGCGGACTTGACTTTTTTTCTCGACGTTTTGAATGATATGTACTCAGATGATTACAAAAAATGTGACAGTTGTGATAAATATACAATAAAATGTAATTATACATTTGGAAAACAAATATTCATCGAACTTTTTGCCCCATCTTCCAATCGACAACTGCAGTTTAATAAGAACTTCGATGTTTCTCTGACCCTTCCGAAATCCCACAAAGATTATATTTAAATGGAAACAATTTTACTTTGAGAGGAGTGATCAATTTCATTCCACCATTATCATTAAAAAAAGATGCTATTGGTCACTACGTATCTTATTGTTGGAGAGAAAATTCAAATCGATGGGAACGTTACGATGATCTACAATGCGCACCTAGGACAGTAAGACCAACAACAATACTCGCAAATTGTCAATTTATAATATATACAGTTTAACATAATTATTTTAAAATTTTATATCAATGTTTTTTTTTTTTTTAAATAATTTTAATAGCAAGTTGCCAGATGTTTAACAGTATAGTGTAGAGGAATACATAATGTAAATATGAAATAATAATAAATATTTGATTAAAAAGATTACATTGTGATTTAATAGTCTGCGATTATAAACAAAATGTTATCCTAACTACTCATTAAGCTTTGATCACAACAGTTTAATACCTAATTAAAAACAATATTATTTATGTTATACAAGTAAAATTATACAATAAATATACAATCATATGAAAATATATTAAAATACATAAAAATGTTTAACAATAAATCGTGTAATTAAGGTTTATGATTTGTGAAAAAATACAACAAAAGTAATTATTTTTTAAAAAATAGTTATTATAGGTACCAGAATTTTTAAGTTTTTTAGTCTTGAGTATATAAAAAGACGATTATTAAGATGTGAACAGGCATATTTTATATTGGAATGATAATAGCCAAGCCAAAACACCCATTATTATTGGTATACGACTAGGTTAAGTGAGGTATAAAATACCTACGTGTCCAAAAGCTTATCATTACATTCCTACAGCTAATAACCCGATGGATATAGTAAACAATACTCAAGACCAACAAAAAAATAAATATCGTTCATCCTAGACTTGAAAACTGTGAACAACCAGTATACTCCTATAACCTACGTTACCCCATTTAACAATATTGTAGACTGATCAAACTAAAATAACATTGTAAAAACTAAAAAAACTAAAAAAAACTTGTAAAAACCTGAGTGTGAAAAAAAATCAAATCACATTATTTTTGAGGTTAAATTATATGCAATGTATTTTGTAGTTGTGAGAAAACCCTATCAATTTATCATTATATAATATATTTATAATATGTATTTATCGATTCCACACAAATATCCTGTTATGAATAAAAAAATATATATACATTATATTATACAGACTGCGCTGGTTACTGTACAATGTACATATGTTATCTACCTTATGATTTTTTCGAATCTTAAACTTATAAAAATAGTTGATCTAGACACAAACCATAAGCATAAACTAATATTATATTTTATTGCATTTTTATTAAAATTATTTATTTATTTATTTTCATATTAGGTATTTAGGTCATAATTTTAAATTGTGAACCTATTTTAAGACTATGTATTTACTTTTATATAAGTAATGTAAAATCTATTTTAAACACATCTATCTTGGTTTATATGAATTATATGATACAAAAATTTTAACAAATAAATAAATATACACCTACTGCAATATATATATTTAGGCACTGTAATAATTATAATTATAAATATGTTACATGTTACCTATGAATAGGGTTCGGATTTGAAGGCAAATGCCTTTCTTTTATTAATCATAATTGAAAAATAATTTTTATACAAAAATGTGTTTCATTTAATTTCTTAGAGGATGGATCTTTTTTTTTTTTGCCTTTTTTGCCTTTTTACTTATAAATGCCTTTTTGTCTTTTTTTACCTTTTGTACTTATAAATGCCTATTTTGTGTTTAATTTTTCAGTTGATTTTATAATTTTATACACATCTTGCGTATTATCGTTACAAATGGGTTTTATTATTCGCAATAGTAGCAATCTTAATTTAGATAATTATTTAAGTATGAAAGTGGACGTAGAATGATCGTTTTCGATGTACAAAAATATTTTAACCCCTAACCGTAGCCGTTTTTCTGAAGACAGCTTATCAAAATACATGGTAGTCAATTTTTTTGTTAATACCAACTAGTTTATTTTGCATTAAATTAACTGGTATAACTCAAGTAAGTTAATATTTAAAATTGTTTTTAACTAATTCTTAGGACAAACCTGGTTAAAGAAAAAGGTACCTAATCTATTAATACAAAATAGCATAAACTTAATGTAGTTTAGTATTCATGCTCATTTTTAATTTGTATTTTTCTCAAAATGTGTGCATTTAAAAGTGTTTAAAAAATGTTCACTATTTTATTTTGTAGTATATATTTTATGAATTGCCTTTTTATATAAATTAAATGCCTTTTTTTGCCTTTTTTTACATTTTAAATGCTTTTTTTATTGATTATATTGCCTTCAAATTCGAACCCTACCTATGAATATAATTCAAATTCTACTTTTTACGTAGGATTAACTGCTGACAAATACATTAATATTAACATACACTCATAATTTGTAAGGCCAATGGCCTTACTTACACCATGTATATGTAATTTGTTTAATGTGCACATTAGACCTCAATACACTACTACCATCGGACTCCATATGATGACGATGCAGTCATATTATATATAGAATGAAATTTACAAGTTTGGAGTATAATTATTTGTAAGTGCAGTATACAATAAAAACAATATTAATAACTGATATTGAATCCTAGTTATTTAAATACATTTAAGATTCTGATATCTATACATCTACCTCTGACTACGGTAATTATATCTATTGAGTCCTACAACTCTCCCTAGATATTTTATATTTAACTGGTCGTTCTTCCGACCACGTTACAGCACGTTAAACTATAAGTGTAATAAGTATAATTGTACGGCGGGTTTAGGCGAAAAAAGACTTTCCCGTTTTCCAACAAATTATAAAATGAAGATAAGTACATCAGTACCAACAAAAAAGTGATTATTAACATGTATACGTAAGACGAGAATATTTTATTGTACAATGACAATAGCAACATTTAAATACCCAATGTAGGTATACTAAAATATGGTAATATCACCAAACTACGTATTATAAAAATGAACAATATACCATACAAATAATTAATAACAGCTAAATGGTGGATGGTGCATTTGATAGTTGAATACACTTCGTATTCTGTCTGCGCTTATGTTATTTTGAATTTATTGATGTAAACAAAAAGTTAAACATTTAAACTTATTACTTGTGGTATAAAAGTTTATGTGCAAAGTGACATAAAATTAGCAATAATTTAAATAAAACTGATATCTATAAATTACCTACTTAATATCTAAAAGGGCACTTCTATTTACACTACTCCTAGACCACTCGGGTAAATCACAAAAAACGGAGCACAAACAAACGGCTTTGGTCCGGATCCGATATTCAATGTTTGCAATTAGCATGTCCCCGGCACCGCCCAAGGTAAATCGCGAATAACTCTGGAAGGGATTGAGCACAAACGAAGGGATTTGCTGCACAAACCGGCACAAACGGAGCACAAACAAACGGCTTTGGTCCGGATCCGATATTCAATGTTTGCAATTAGCATGTCCCCGGCACCGCCCAAGGTAAATCGCGAATAACTCTGGAAGGGATTGAGCACAAACGAAGGGATTTGCTGCACAAACCGGCACAAACGAAAGCCCCGGGTTTGAGTTCAAAATTTCAATTGGGCGGTGCCAGCATGTCTCCAGCACCGCCCAGGGTAAATCGCGAATAACTCTGGAAGGGATTGAGCACAAACGAAGGGATTTGCTGCACAAACCGGCACAAACGGAGCACAAACAAACGGCTTTGGTCCGGATCCGATATTCAATGTTTGCAATTAGCATGTCCCCGGCACCGCCCAAGGTAAATCGCGAATAACTCTGGAAGGGATTGAGCACAAACGAAGGGATTTGCTGCACAAACCGGCACAAACGGAGCACAAACGAAAGCCCCGGGTTTGAGTTCAAAATTTCAATTGGGCGGTGCCAGCATGTCTCCAGCACCGCCCAGGGTAAATCGCGAATAACTCTGGAAGGGATTGAGCACAAACGAAGGGATTTGCTGCACAAACCAGCACAAACGGAGCACAAACGAAAGCCCCGGGTTTTGACCCGAAATTCAAAATGGGCGGTGCCAGTGACATGGACCTTTTATTTTCATGATATCATGGAGGATGTACGGCTTATCACTATGATATGCTATGTTATCACTTTGATAATATGATATTGTTTTTTTTTCTTGTACTATAATAGGTAGTCCGTTTTATTTTCAAATAAATAAAAATTGTTATTTAATTCTAGTGTTCTACCTAAGGTGGATCTTGTTCTCAAGGTAAATCCACCTTGATACTATCGAATATTTTAGTATTTTTATAGTAATTAGTATGACGGAAAAACTTATTAAAAGAAACCCGGTATTCCAAGTAGATGAAATTAATCTGCTGGACAGTTTAGTTTTTAAATATAAACATGTATTGGAAAATAAACAAGAAGGAGCGGTACAAGTAGCCCAAAAATCAAAGTATTGGAATATTGTGGCAGATGAATTTAATGCAGCTGCATTAAACGTTTCAGTAAGTTATCCAATTGTTATGCACTTATGCAATATTTTGTATGATAAATGTATCAATTTGTACTAGCGTCCTGCTCTTAATCTCAAAAAATATTGGGAAAATAGAAAAAATAACAAAAAAGCCGAACTATGTGCTGAAAAAAAGAAATAAAAATAAGACTGGTGGAGGGCCAGAAGAAACTATACCAACAAATGAAGCCATTGATCAGTTTTTAACTACTATAACTGATATAGAAGTGCATGGCGTTCTAGATTCGGATTCCTTAAGAAATATGTCATCATCAACTCCAAATAATTTTGAGACTATTTTACAAGGTAATTATACAATCTTACTATATAAAACGAAAACCCGTGTGGCGCTCCCTATGCGTTAAATCCGAACCATCGTAAGAGAGAGCCAATGAGAAAATTCAATTTCCCCGGAGGGCGGTCTCCCGGCGGCGGCGGAGCCGTCGCTTCGTTATCACTCCTCCTTATCGCTTTTCACGATTTTTCTCGAAATTCACGATTTTTTTTCAAATTTTTTGTGTTTTACCCCTCCCGGGGGCCTCGGGCGGTCCCGTTCGGACCTTATTCGCGTTCCCCGCTAGATTTACTATTACGAGTACGCCGTACTCTTTTCTCTGCGGGCCCTCCTCGGCGGATATCACGTGCGAACCGAGCGCCGCCGTCGCCCGCGCTTTTTGCCGTTTTTTTTCGAAAATTCGAGTTTTAGGCGTTTTAGGGGGTATCGACCTCCCCGTTTGGATCTTATTCGCGCTCCCCAATAAATTTATAGTCGGCGCGCTGCCATATTTTTTCAAAAACGAGTGCCCGGTGGACGAATCGATCGCCGAGAGCGCCGCGTCGTCGCCGTTTCGACGGTTTTCCCGACTTTTTCGACTAGAGTCGCGTTCGGCGCCTTTACGATACATCCGACCTCCCCGTCGGCGACGTATTCGCTTTCCCCGCTAAATTTATAGCCGGCGCGGGGCCCTACTTTTTCAAAAACGAGTCCAGGGGAGGTTAAATGTGAGCGGAAACGTGAGTAGGTACCGAGTAGGTATCGCTATATACAGGCATAAATACATGCGTCGCGTCGTTTTTTGCGTAGCCGAAGCTGCGTTATCACTCCTCCTTATCACTTTTCACGATTTTTTTTCAAAATGTTCGACTTTTACTCCCCTCGGGGCCTCGGGCGGCCCCGTTCGGACCTTATTCGCATTCCTCGCTAAATTTACTATTATAGGTCCGCCGTACTTTTTTCTCTGCGGGCCCTCCGCGGCGGATATCACGTGCGAACCGAGCGCCGCCGTCGCCCGCGATTTTTGCCGTTTTTTTCGAAAATTCGAGTTTTAGGCATTTTGGGGCTTATCGACCTCCCCGTTTGGATCTTATTCGCGTTCCCCGCTAAATTTATAGCCGGCGCGCTGCCCTACTTTTTCAAAAACGAGTCCCGGGGAGGACCGGCGTCGCTTAAACGAGAGTAGGTACCGATTGGGTATCGAGTAGGTACCGCTATATACAGGCATAAATACGTGCGTCTCGAAGTTCGATTTTTTTCGCAAAGCTCGGGTATTATACGTCCGAGGGCGGCGGAGCCGGTCGTATGCTCGCCGACGCGGTCGGATCGCCCGCTACGACACCCTTTGACGGCCTTCCAAACGGCGTTCGCCTTTCGCGGGGACCGCAACGCGGCTTAAGAGTCATATATTTGACTCTGTATTTCATCTCAGTAGGTGGCTAGGTTGGTTAGGCGTTAGGACAGGTGACTCGAGGGTTGTGGTTTCGAACCCGCCGCCCGAAAATCGATAATTTGCGGCGGCCGTGTTCAATGGAATTTTTTTTTCGCGTTTTTTTTTTCGTCACATTAATTATTTTTAACGAAAGTGTTGTGATTTTTTTCAAAATTCGCGTTATTATATTAAATATATCGGTATTTATATATATTATAATTCGTTTAACTATATTTATTTTGCAAAAAAATATAAATATATAATAAATTAATATATTAAATAATAATAATAATATTAGCATTTAATTAATACTTGATTTTATCGTGACCAACGCACCTATATGTTTCTTTTATAAATACAATATAATATAACTAACCTATATGACATATATTGTAGTACCTTCTTGATATATTACGGTTTTTAAGTGATTCCAATTTGGTTAAATATTGTTTAATACGATATTAATAAACTAATAGATCTAAAAGAACTGATTAAACTCTGGCATTTAAGTAGTACGACTATATTATGACTGCTCTTTTTGCCGTTTTTTTCGAAAATTCGAGTTTTAGCCCCTTTCGGTCGTATCACCCTCCCCGTCGACGACTTATTCGCGTTCCCCGCTAAATTTATAACCGACGCGTGGCCCTACATTTTCAAAAACGAGTCCCGGCGAGGAGCGGCGTCGCGGAAAAGAGAGTAGGTACCGATTACATATCGCTATATACAGGCATAAATACATGCGTCTCGAGGTTCGATTTTTTTTTTGCAATTCTCGCGTTTTATACGTCCTAGGGCCGCGGAGCCGGTAGTCCGCTTCCCGACGCGGTCGGATCGCCCGCTACGACACCCTTTGACGGCCTTCCAAACGGCGTTCGCCTTTCGCGGGGACCGCAACGCGGCTTAAGAGTCATATATTTGACTCTGTTTTTCATCTCAGTAGGTGGCTAGGTTGGTTAGGCGTTAGGACAGGTGACTCGAGGGTCGTGGTTTCGAACCCGCCGCCCGAAAATCTATAATGTGCGGCGGCCGTGATAAATTGAATTTTTTTTTTCGTCGTTTCGCTATCACATCCGTCTTATCATTTTTAACGTAAATGTTCCGATTTTTTTCAAAATTCGAGTCTTAACGCCTCTACTGACTTCGGACCTCCCCGTTGAAGACTTATTCGCGTTCTCCGTCAAATGATTTAGCAGAGCGGACAGTGTCTTTATTACTATACATGGGCGTGAATATAATATGCGACGAAGAGTTTGATTTCTCTTTTTTTTTTCGTTTTTTTCAAAAATTCGAGTTTTAGCTCCTTTTGGTCGTATTACCCTCCCCGTTTGAATCTTATTCGGGTTCCCCGCTAAATTTATAGCCGGCGCGTGGCCCTACATTTTCACAGACGAGTCCCGGGAAAGAGTGGCGTCGCGGAAAAGAGAGTAGGTACCGTGTAAGTATCGCTAAATACAGCAATAAATACATGCGTCGCGTCGTTTTTTGCCGTTTTTTTCTAAAATTCGTATCTTGGCCCGTGTTAGTGGCATTACACTTCCTGTTTGGATGTTATTGGCGTTCCCCGCTAAATTTATAAGCCGCCCGCTGCAGAGTCGGTCTGTAGGTGTACCAGGTACATGCATATTATAATATATAAATGTATATTTATCAAGAAATGATACACGGTGCCTGGGTTGGTTTAGTTAAATTATATATACTTTATAAAATATTATCCCAGCTCGAGTCGACGATGGATGTCACAGAAACAATAATATAAAATAATTATATATTAGGTATTATTAATTTGAGTATACAATAGGTAGGTTTAATCAAATTAATAAATAGATAATTGATAAATAACAATATTTAGATAATTGACAACCACAGCTATTGCTTTTATTATCTACATTTATGAGCAACGCACCTAAATCTTTGACATGGGCTCGATTAAATATTAAATAAATAATATACTATGTAGTAGGTAGGTACTTGATACAGCTATTACAGTTTTTAGGTCAGTAAGATTTGGTTAGATTATAATACTGCTACAGATTATAAATAATACTATATTAATAAACAAAATTGAACTTTATGTATTTATTTAAAGTCTGGCAATTAGATTGTATAATGATATGACTATATACTATTTGATATAACTTATAAAGGTAGGTTTGAATATGAGTATTATATGAAATAAACTATTTGTTATTATAACTATGGTTATTTTATACCTACATGAATAGACAATAGTAATATAACTAACCTACATGTATTTATACTACTTAATATATTACAGTTTTTAGTTGAGTCAAATTATGTATATTAGTAAACAAAAAAATTACTAACTATATTATGTATTTATTTAAATTCTGGCAGTTAAATTGTATAATGATATGACATTATTAGATATTACTCAAAATATAGGTAGGGCTATCATATATATTTACATGAGTTTCAAATCAATAAAACAAATACATAATTAATAAATGATGAATAACAAATTGATACTATATATTATGTACTTACATATGACTTATGTATTATAATATAGATGTATTATTACTATTATTATACCCATAGATGTATTAAGTGTACAATATAAACTACATTCATACACACTTGCATACACATAACAGATAAGTCATAACACAGTGATGCACCATTATAAATGTGCAATTATAATTACTAAATAATTTAAACTATCATAAATATCATATGACATTAAAAAATTGGTAGGTAGGCACATAATATATTATATACAGTCATACAATATAACAGAAAAATATTATGATAGTAGACCTACTCAGTAAGATAAATGCCACAAAATACAAACTATATGCATTGTATAGTGTATACATTTACACATACCTACGTTAAATAGGACAGTATTTTTCAGGTCAATCAAATTTGCTATTCATCAATAAAATTATATATTTATTAATTTGATTTAATTCTCATTATTAAATAAATATACATGGTAGGTATAACTTTACTATATATGTAAGTAATATCAAATAGTATAGAAAATATTATACAAATATTAAATAACTTTACTACCTACAAACTTTACTTAAATATATAATGATCTTTTTATTTATTAATATAATAATATATATTATATAGAAACTGTAGCAGTATTTGTATGCTACATTAAATTATTAATTACCAAAATAAGAAAGTGGCTATTTGATTACCTCAACAAATTAACTCACCTGACAACTGTAATATTATATTGATATGTATGCATTTATTAGTTAATAACAGGGACTGGAACCGTACCGAAATTGACCAGTTTTGGACCGAAATCTTTTGAAAATCTTAGGACCGAAACCGGACCGGAACAATTAAATATATTTTTTTAAGAAAAGAAACCGAAACCTATATTTTGATGTAGAGGTTTTTCCGGAAAATCCAATAGATATTTCATCTGTGGTGAAAATAGGTAATAACTAATAAC